TCGCAATTTTGCAAGGCATTGCTTGCCCCCGTAGGTTTCGAACTAGTGATTTTCCAGACAGTGCTTTCAGCAAATCCGCATTGCGTGCTTCTGCTTAACTACCCAACTTCAAATGCGAAATGTTTTCGGTACTGTACATACTTCCGGAACTTTGGACCGTTTCAGCAGAAAGGGTTTCATTGGAAATGTATTAACTAAAAATAAAACAGCGATCTTTAAGGAAACCTCCCAGTGAATTTCTTTGTGGCTATCATCTGCAAATTTATTCTTATTGCTGTGTCCATATCGTTCATATTTTATTCGTTCTATGTCCATAAATACAGTCACACACTGATGGCATTCTCTATCGCTAGAGTGGTGAGTAACGTTTTCTATTTCTTAATTTTTATTGTCTTCTTAATTTTTTCGGGTTGAAGTGGGAGTCCGTAGACGAGCTCCATAGCGGCCTCCTCTTCCGACTCCCATATGTAAATGGTTGTATCGCATGAATATGGGATATGTTGGGCTTTTGTAATCCGTACAAGTAATGATCATATCACGAAGATTTTCACTCATTAACTCGAAGCCGCCGATAATCACCCAGAATCCGAATCAAATCACAGCTCAGTCGTGCTTCACAATACTGACGCCCTGGAATGGCCACGATAGCAGCAAATTACATAGGGAATCTAGGTGTCAGGCGTAATACGGTAAGGTTGAAAGCAGGGATGTCAGTGGCTAGAAGCGTCAAGGTGGAAACATTCTGAAGCGATATAGAAGCACTATTGCTCTCACTGCAAAACTGCTGCCGTTGCTCAAAATGCCTCTATCAGATAAAGTCTAATTTTGAGAGTGATTGCACTCTCTACCTTGCCGACCCTGGTGCATGCCGGGTCGGCCGAATCGGCTTGGAAGTCCATACCGCCTCTTATTCATCTCCATTCGGGAAACTGAATAAACTTCATGAAACAGATTACAATTGTGTCATTCCAGATATTCTGGTTAGTGAATCTGAGCTCTTTGATCAAATGGCGTGATCTCCCACATCTTCCTCTTCCGCTGGCCTTATCTTACTCTTTAGCTGTCTGTTTTGATCTGTTACCCCTATTTGCCTGGAGTATGTATTTTACGACAAGGTGGGACATTTTAATTTTGTTACTTTTTCAATTGACTTTCCTGAACCGCCCCGCGCCGCGCGCCTGGAAGGTAATGTAACTGGGTTGCCTCGAAATTAATATGAGCTCCTCTAGAGCGCATCACTATCAGATGGCGGTCATTACTGATGGGACTCACCCCTTTTTTTTCTGGATTCTCACAATTGCAGATCATTTAAAAATGGCCAATTCGTTTTTTACATGATGGATTTCGTTCCCACATTGATAGTGTTTGTCTCTACTATGTGTTTATCGACTATGCGAAGTGAATCGCAATCAGTAAGTTAATGTCTTGTATTTCTTCAATTTTATGTGAATTAACCTATTTTGCAAAACATTTGCCCTTCCTTACTCGTTAGTTGCGCTATCAATTTCCGTTTTCTAGACATGGTCGAATTTCTCACGAAAGATTACCTTGATTCTACCATATGTTTGGCCAAAGAAAAGCTTGTCCCTACAGTTGCGAGTAGCTTTCTGTTTGTTCCTTCTGCTATTCGGACGTCTCATCAATGTCGCCCTTCCTCTATACAGCAAATGGATTGGTTTGTTATGATTCTGATTCTTCTACGGTTACTTAGTCAAAATTAGAGTACAACAGTTGGGCACGATTGAGAGTCAGTATCTAGAATCTACCAATAAAAACTAAAAAAAATAGCTGGAACTTAGCCTCTGCTATTAGACTGGAAAGAAAGCCTATGTTTTTTGAACTGCTTGCGGCTTTTGATTCTCGATGCTTCCACATGATGTAACCTGATACAGTTGTAGAACATTTCCGAGGCTTTTCCGCAAGAGGTATATGAAGGCGCTTGCTCTTCCGTGGGTTTATACGATGTTAGTTTCACAGGAACAGCTTCGAGTCATCATCTTCTATG